ATTTAATGGATCAAAGAAGTGAAAGTAAAAGAGCATTCTGTCATTAGCATTGGAAGAACTATTACGTCTCAGTTGAAGCTTTGAAAATGTGTCTTTGAAGCTGGCTGTCGATATTATTCGGGGTACCTAATTAAAACTAAACAGAGGGATTACATTTTCATCACATTTTCAATAAAAGCAAAACGTCTCCTCTAATGTGCACTCGTTGGTTCCACCATTCTTCTACTGTGTATTAAGGATTTGAGACTATGATGTGCAAAGAGGCAATGTGAGTGGGTGAGCAGCAGAGAGACCTGGGAAGCCAAGCATTAATGTGCAGGGTAATAAGTTTGGTCCAGTGCAAGCCCCAGGTTAAACTAAAAACCCTATATGTAAAATAACGTGCCAGCAAAGGTGGGCAAACAGAGGTGAACTCATAATCTAAGCCCAATTTGAACACCCAAAGCACTGTTTCTAGTAACTGTGCAGTACAAGTGTAGCTTTTTGTAAGGTAAAAGCCACCAAATATTACCCATTTCCTTTTTTTAACACAATATCACTCAAGATGCTAAGTTTAATCTGAAAATCTGACAATTATGCTACTTTGGATCACGATGTCAGCCTTTTGTGCAGGTTTAAAGGTCCTATATTGCGCAAAATTGTGTTTAAGCTGTGTTATAATGTTGTTACCTCATCAAAAACATACCTGGGGTTGTGTTTTGTTTCATTCGCACATGTTTGAGTAATCCTTTATTATTAGTCTGTCTATATCTCCAAAGCTCAAAACACTCTGTTCCACCTTGTGATGTCTTGAAGCGGTAGTTTTCAAGTTAACCGCTTCTTTTAAATGGTAATGGTTGCATTTTTATACAGTGCTTTTCCACCTTAAAGGCACTGAAAGCCAGTGGCAGAGTTAGCAATTTGGGGGCCCTAGGTGAACTTGAGTTTGGAACCCTCATTATAATGCACATTTCATTGTATTTTATTAATTTATTTATTTCTTAACATATATATTTATTATCTGTTGTTCCCCATTGTTCTTGAGACATGCACATCTCTATTTACTTGAATTATGGATAGATTGGAAACTTGTCTTATTAGTTAGGGAGCCTACTAGATAACCAGAACTTTTCTTAGCCAGTACAATTACATTTTTGTTTACATCCATTACATATGATGATTATTACCTCCGCCAAGGAGGTTATGTTTTTGCCGGCGTTTGTTTGTTTGTTTGTTTGTTTGTTTGTTTGTTTGTTAGCAACATAACTCAAAAATTTATGGAACGATTTTGATGAACTTTTCAGGATTTGATGGAAATGTGAAAAGGAAGAACTGATTTCATTTTGGGGGTGATCCGGAAGAAATCCTGGATTCTGGATCACTTTGAAATTTTAGTTAACATTGTGGTAAATGGGGCCAAAAATTTTATTTCTCAATATCTCGGTTAATTATTGACCAAACCCCATGAAATTTGACTCAGGGATGGACAATGGGATCCTCTTTCATATTCCAAAGGCTGATCCGGATCTGATCCAGAAGACTGATTTTATCGCAATTTATATAAAAAATGGGGGTAGTCCTTGGCGGAGGTCTGCGCTCTCTGAGTGCTTTTCTAGTTATTATTATGATTGTTTAAAAGTAAACTACTCTCATTTAATGTCATATTGAGAGAAAATAAAATTGCTCTGAGGCCTCGGGCATTAGTGGCAAAACGGTTGGGGGCCCCTTCAGGTTTGGGGGCCCTGGGCAGCCGTCTATTTTTGCCAAATGGTAGCACTGCCTCTGATCAAAGCACTTTACAATCATTTACCCATATATTCATACACCAGTGTACACAGACACTAGGGGCCAGGTGGGTTAAGTGTCTTGCCCAAGGACAAAATGACAGCATTCATGTGTGAGAGCTAGAATCACACCAGCCAACCTGTGGGTCAGCTCAACCTGTGATCTTTTTTTTTTTTTTTTTTTTTATGTCAATAGCGAGATTCAAACCTACGGATCATTGGACCAATGCTCCCTCTGATTTTGTTCAGCAGAGATTAGCAGTTCTGAAGTTATTCAAAAGCTTCTAATGAATGTCTATGGAGTTTAAAAATGCAGTGGAGATCTTCCTGTTTTACCATATGACATCACAAGGTGGAACAGAGTGTTTTCTGTTTGAGAGATTAACTCAAGCAGGATTTGTGTGTTAAACATGTGTGTGAATGAAACAAAACAAAACTCCAGGTGTGGTTTTGATAAGGAAACAACATTAAACATAGATCAGAAAATAGCGTAACACGGGCCCTTTTAGGATGCACAGTAATCTATAAAAGCAAACGATTCGAGTTAAATTCGCTAATTAACACCTCTGCTGGCTTGATTCTACATTATCAGTTTACAGCCAGACTAGCAAAAGCGAAGAAGTGAAGAAACACCGAGGATCCATACACCACTAACACCCCATGCTAATCACAAGCTAAATCACACTCTAACATGTGATACGGTAACAAGAGCGCGCCGTCCCCCGGATCCGCTTTAACTGCCGATCGATTGCGCCCGTAGTTGTCCTCATGCCGCCCGCTAAGAAATCTGTAATCAATCTGCACCTCGCCTGTGCGCCCACCTGCCCCGCTGCATTCCCCCTTCATTAAAACCACCCACTGTGCGAATAGAAACGTTAGCCGGGCCCGCTGAGGTCCAACTGGCCATTAGCATCAATCTTTACTAAAAGATTGCTCCAGGTGCGATGCTGCATTAGTGCTACGTGCGAGTGGTGACAGCGTGCGTGTTTGCTTTGTTTTACAGGTGTGTGTGTGTGCGCAAAGTGTGTCTCAGCAACTCGAACCCCAGCGTGAAACGTGGTGCAACCCGATCGGACCACAGACATCAGCAGACGCAGCGCTCATGACGAGATCAATATGGCGGTGAATGTTTTAATGTGTCAAATCTGGACTGTTGGTGAGGACGGTGATTGAATATTGTGACGTGTTGCTTAAATGAGGTCGGCCCTATGTTCCCTCAGCCTTATGTTGCCTTATTTTCTCAAAATTAAACTCTAAGTCAAGTCATTTTTATTATTAGAGATGATTCAGAGTCATTTCAACCTTTGTACCATGACCTCTACTTTACATCTGTAGTCGACTGCTGCTGGAGAATAGTTTGGGTATAATTGACGACCAAACTGGGAGAACTGAGGATAAATTCTGATGCAAATTGACGATAAAGGAAATGTGGGAACATAGGGTCTAATTTTGGAGGGGGAAAAAAAGAACATAAAACTTAGAGATGCGGGAACATTGGCAGGCTCCCGCTCAAACCAGATTTCCACAAGTTTTGTCTTTGACTTCTAAAGGAACTATTCTTGTAACGTGTTAGAAGTTGAGAAATACGCTTATCATTTCCCAATTTGAATCAGAGCTGAATTTGTTTCAAAATTTGATTTGCCCGTTTTGAGAAAAAATCATTAATGTCCTTTGAGAAACTAAAAGAAAAACACAGCTTACCAAATAATACACTCTTTTGTTACCTTCAGCTACGATCATTTCTTACTAGTAATCTGGGTCATATTATATTATTGCCCAAACTTACAGAATTTGAAAGGTTGTTACATGATGGTGGACGTTATGAATTTATTTCTAAGATGTTTACTTTGTTGATAAATGAATGTCCTAAACCAGCCTCGTATCGATCTAAGGAGAGGTGGGAATCAGACTTAAACACTACAATTGAAGATAATATCTGGTTGAATTTATGTCAAGATTATAGTTACAGAGTTATAGAGTTTATCTGCCATCACCAATGCTCGATATAGACTTATACATTATAATTTCCTTCATCAGTTATGTCTAACCCCAGAAAAACATTCATAAGACAAAACTAGATTTTTCTGATCAATGTTCTGTAGAATTGGGCTCATTTTTGCATTGCACCTGAACATGTGTGAAAGTAAAAAGATTCTGGTTTGACTTTTGCCAAGCCATATCCACAATCACAAAAACTTCGATACCTCTTGATCCTGAGTTTGGGCACGGGGTTTTTGTTTCCCAACTTCAAAATATTGATATGTCCAGATGAGAAACTACATGTAATTTACTATCCATTTTTATTATTCTTTAAATATGTTTATTTTAAGTTAAATATGAGCCCAGCGTTTGTGTTAATCACATCACATTTAACTGTGAAAAAGCTCAAATAAACAGATGAGTGCAGAATATAATCGAGCGCAACTGATTTTGTGTTATATTTCATGTTTGTGATTACAGCGATACAGTATTGTAGCAAACTGTAATAGTGTAATTGTTAATACCTTGTCTCCGTTTTTATAACTGTTATTTTTATGTGTTATGTTCATGGTCTACGTGATTGGATGAAAGTTGGGAGTGGGCTCATCTTGTGTTAAGAAGAGGAGTTTAAAGCAGGTTTTTTTGTGTGTTCAGAGGAGCAGCGCGGTTCGAGTTTTGAGCGAGACCTACTTGACTGTTAACCTAATTGTATTGGCGATAATAACCAAATCATTTCTCACAATAAAGCGACATCTTGTGAACTATTTGTCCATTCATTACCTTAAGACACTACAGTATTTTACACATTTAAATTTTTTTTTTTTCCAATTCTAACGTAAATGAATGGCGAATTAAGGTTTTAACTGACAGATACAATATTTACCTGTTTTTGGCAAGTAAAATAATAACTAAGATGAACCTAATAACGAGCATGACTGATGCAATTCAGCTCTGACTCAAATTGGGGAAAAACAAGCTCATTTCTTCACTTCTTTAACATATACAAGAACGTCATGTGTAATGTCCAAAAGCCAATAGATATATACAATTTGAAACGACGTGTGTTCATTTAAATGACAAAAATTAACGACAAAATGTTTGTATTTTTTGTTCATGCATATCGTAAGTTTAGAAAGAGAAAAAAAGTGTCTTAGCGGCGAGGTCGTGTTAGCATTCGCGTCTATCTGCTGATGTCTGTGGTCAGCCCTGCTCGCGTGCACTCAGCCTAGGCAGCAGGGGGAGTCGGTGGGCACTCACGCTGGCATTGGCCCCAGGATCGGCGAGTCCAGCCCCAGCAGCAGTCCACCCTGGCACCGTAGCGACACAGACCGGTGGAGGAGGCCATCTGCCGCGGCCACCTGTGAGAGGAACACAGAGTCAGACCAAAGACGAGCACAGAGTCCTAATGCAGAGCGGGAGGGAGTCTATGTGATTATGAAGGGCGTCAAAGAGTGAACGCAGTCTGTTACATGCACAGCCAGGGGTTCAAATGTTGTTAATAAAGCGAAACTAAAAAGAAAACTGAACATGAAACAGACCCTTTAACATGTTTCCTTGTAAGATTTAAAGATCCTATTGACTCTTGTGCGCGTTAATGTTATAATGTTGTTACCTCCTTAACAACATACACAGTCAATTTGCGGTAAGGTTAAGGTGCACTTTATAGTCCCTGTTGGGAAATGTGCTGTTTACGAGTGTTAAAATGCTCAGGTGTTTGGCTTCAAACTGAAAATCCCTGGAGAAGAGGAGGTGTTATGCAAAAGAAGAGGTTTTAGATTAACCTTGCTCACACCAGCCTGATATGTGTGAGTCTCTCTGAAATGAGTTCTACACATGATCAATCAGGAACAGCTCTCCCTGAACGTGATCGCAGAACATCATGACAACTATTTGAATCTGAGTATGAGATAAAAGAAAGAAAAATCTAACTTTTCTTCAATCCAGTTGATAGAAAAGCACAGACATCTTTCCTGTCCACACATGCACAAAGCGCTTCCCTCTGCTCATTTTTCACAAACAAAATAGTCCATATTGATGCTAAAATAGGCTGAAGTATGATTATAACAGTGGTACTATTTTTTTTCTCTCAAGAGCCAAATTGGAACATCAAAATCAAGAGGAGAGTCACTTATACCCAACATACGCCAACATACCAAAACACCTTTGCAAATGTGCATTTCTACATATAAACTGGACATCCCACCAAAACTTATTTACCTTAATACTGGGATGAGCAGGAGCTGGCATGCATTATTACTATGACTAATCTGCATAAATTAACTCACCTTTACAACATATAAACCATAACCACTATAGAGCCACATCAGCCCGTTTGAGATTATAATGTTTAATTCAGCTTTGACACATTTGTTTACGTTTTACAGAAATGAAACTTAAAACCGTGGCCAATTTGCATAAATTGTAAGCTTGGAAAAAAAAAAAAATAACAGCTCTTTCCTTGTGCGCTGATGTGGTCTGCTTATGTCGGGCTAAAAAACATGACTCAGTGGAGTATGTGTGTTCTTTCTGGGACAGAGGGATGTGCTGCTCATGGTGAGTCTGTTCTGTCACGTTGGAGATGGTTCATGTTTTCAGAGATCAGACGAGTCATTTCACTCACATTATTTATGTTGGTCACTTTATTTAGATGATGTTAGTCAAGAGCATGTTCCACTTTTTAAAATGTGGCTCAGGCAGCGGGTCAGGTACAATATTTTCACTTTTTTTTTGGTTGGAGTTGCGGGTGGGTTCATTCAAAGTGTTGGTTGGGTATCGGTCATTTATACATCACTGGCTGCTGGTGTCACGGCGCCCCCTTTAGGAAACACACATTTACACATAATATATATGTGTATATACATAATATACATATATTTGTTTTTGTTGTTAGATTTGTAATGCAATGCGGGTACTGTGCAATTATTGCTTATATTGTACAGGAAATGAGAAGTCTATATGTGTTCTTTGTTACTTTGGGATGGTAGAAAGAAGGGGTGGGGTTAAATAAGTATTTACTTCCTCCCACTGCTTTTTCGGACACAAGTAAAATCTGCGTGACATTTATTTTGCCTGTTATTATAGAATAGAAATATTTAATTTTTGTGTTATATCTATGTAATTAAGTTTTTTATTTATGATCTATGTATTACTGTCTGAATAAACATTCATTCATTTATATTTAGTTTAATGTAGATGTTTTTGTTGCAATGTTCACTATATGTTTATCGAGCACATTTGAAAAAATATATTGGCTGTGTTACTATTTTTGGTATAAGCTTGCGAGCCACCAATTAAAGCTTGGCGAGCCGCATGTGGCAATCATAATATGAGTATCCTTGGATTATAGGATGGATTCTTGTGAGTTCGTGAACTAATAAATGCCAGGCCCACAAGCTTATGTCAACCACGCTCCCAGATAACAGTTCTCCATACATATATAAAAGCATGATACAAAACTGTACACAACAAAATGATAAATGTGCAGTAGTTTCATTACTTGTCTTACTATGTTGTTTTGGCCAAAAGAGCATTTTCAAAACCACAAAATCTACATCTGTTATGTGTTAGCAGTTAATACTCCATATGTAAAGTACCTGAATTAAACTAAACACAACTTGAGCGTTATTGTTTATCATCAGATTGTGTCAAGTGTAATATGGCCCTTTAATGGACTCAAAGCATGTAACAGGTTGAAATAATGTTTACTATCAGTCAGGTAATTGCACAAACGAGCACAGATCTGAATAAGACTTGTGAGCAGCCTAGTGCACTCGGAGCCACTGAACCTTCTCTGTCTCTGGTATAATGAATGAAATAATGAGCTGTGTGTTTGCTGAGCTAAACCCAAGTCAGCACACAGCCCCATCTGTGAGGAGCCCATCGCTGGAACCAGGAGAGAAAAAACAGTAAAAGACATCACACACACACAACAGCTGCGCCACTATCTCCAGATCTGACCTCCAGTTTACCACCAACTGCCTTCAGTCGTCTGCTCCGAGCCATTGACATACTATGAATATATTTATTTTCCATTATGTGAAATCTCAGAGGTGGAGTGTGCATGTATGCAGATGGATGAGTTGGTTATGTTTTCAGGTGCGAGGCAAGGATGCGAGATACATACGCAGAAATTGCAATAAGCATATTCAGTATTAGGGCTGCAGTTATTTTGGCTGATATAAATCCTTTTGCTAACAACATTTCTTTCTGTCTTATCATGTAAAAACTCTTAATCCTGTACTTTACTCCTCTACAAACATGTTCTGAAATTGATGTGGTTTTTGGATTAGTTTGGCTGTTCGTATTTCAGTCTTCTCTCAGATCTCGATGTTCCAAAACATGTTTAAAAAGACAAAGCCTATTGTGCTTTTGTCTGCTGTATAGTTATAATATAAGCACTGCACAGCTGTCAGCACCTCCTGTGGTTTGCTGCAAATCACACTAGCTAATAGCTTTTTTTTTGTTTTTTCATTTGCACCAAAATGGCTACATGACGCTGCCAAATCCTACATATATCACCAATGAAGAAAAATAAATTTGAGAATGAAGTAAGTACAGAACAACGGGTTGATAGGAGCAATGAGGTTTTGAATACAGGAGTATAAAGATTACTGCGCAAACATACATGAATCACTCTAAATTCAACTTTGAGAGGGTAGCTTAAATGAGAACAGGAGTGGTCATCAATCCATAGATCACGATCGTTAGGTTAATCTTTGCCGTGTCTCTAGTAGATCTTCAGCCAAAATCAGAGTCCTGCACCAAATAGTTGCTGAAACGGACGGGTTTTAACGTTCTGGAATTTTACGGTACACATCAGTACTAAACCAGGTCTAAACCAGGACTAAACCAGGACTAAACCAGGACTAAACCAGGGCTAAACCCTAAACCAGGACTAAACCAGGGCTAAACCAGGTCTAAACCAGGGCTAAACCAGGACTAAACCAGGGCTAAACCAGTTCTAAACCAGGACTAATCTTGGAGAAACCCGAGCTCGTGGAGCAGGGTGTCTGTAAAGTACGATCGGGCAACGACTGCGCATACCTCTGTGGGGCGTGGAGCTATGCGCCGTCCTTTCCCCTGCGGTCACCCGACAGTCTACATAGCGCACCCCGACAGTGAGACCTGGTTCAGTTCTGCTTTAGTCCCGTTTTAGTCCTATTTTAGTCTTGTTTTTGTCCAGTTTTAGTCCTGTTTTAGTCTTGTTTTAGTCCTGTTTTAGTCATAGTTCAGTCCTGGAATCAGTCCTGGATGAGACCTGGGTTAGTCCTGGTTTAGTCCTGGTTCAGTCCAAGTCCCCAGAAAACAGTTAAATGATCAAGACTGTCATGAAATGAGTGTTCCTTAAGTTAAATATTACAAGATTACAAAAATAAAGTGATCTGGAACTATAAAAATGATAACTTTTGTTGTTATTTACATTCATGTAGGTAGATCTTGCTCTTTTCTCGGACCAAGCATGTAGATCTTTGGCTCAAAAAGGTTGGTGACCACTGAACTATAGAAAAAAGCGTAAAAGCGCTAAAAATTAAATTTTGCATGAAAGGCTTAAAAAGGTCAAATCTGTACAGAATCCTACATAATACAAAAATCGGAAAATAAGAAGTTACATTTGCAGAGATGGGCAAAGTCTTACAGAAACTCTTTCCCACACCCTGAGCGCATGCACCGAGTGACCCTGATGCTACATATTTTTACGCGTTAGATGTTTGCATACTGAAAGTAAATACAGCATTACAAAAGCAGAATCACATTGACATTGGACAGTATTTTCTGATATCTTGCATAATAGACTACAACAACAAAGTGATAAAGCAACGTTTAATGCCTATAGTGCTTTTTCCGTCACCGAATCGTGTTCTCAAAAGACCTGTTGAAAGTCTGTTGAAAGTTAAATACAACATTTTTTTTTGTTTAGTTTGTTTTTGCTCCATTATGTTCATGCATTTGTACACGCTGCTGAAATTAGGTACAGTAAGGACAGAGATTAGTGCTAGGAAATGCATTTTTGTTTTTCTTTTTTTTTTCCCTGTGAAGCTGCAACATTAGTTTTATCCACAAACAATTTTCTCCTGCTGTGAAAGCTTTAAGACAAATTACCGCCGGATATTTCACATCACACCACGTTCTGTTTAGAGCAAGAAATAGCTCCTTGGCAGACTTCATACACGAGGATTACCTTTTTATCAGCAAAATGGTGGATCAACACATATTTATGGAGGAAGGGAAAAGTCCATTTAAGAACGATGATCAAATCCGAGTGGTGAGCCGCGTACACACTTTAACGGGCTCTGATAAGAGGTCCCTATAGCCTGCGAAGCAATAACCCTAACCCTAGCGAATGGGGAAAAACATGACA